TGTTCTATTATTGTCACAGTGCTAAATTCTCGTCTGCAACATTGATCGAGATATGAAGACTTTGATTATTCATAATAAACACGATGACAATATTCCGAGTCGACGGATTTGGAGGATGAATCGTGGAAAGATGATGAATCAAAGGACTGGATAATCTGCTTACCTAATCAGTCGTGATCAGAGCGATTTGTAATTGCGATTACAGATTCATTTGATTGAAAATGAGCAGAATTTGGTCATTTGTGGTGATGAATTTCTTATCAAAGAATTAATTATCATTTATTTAGGGTTTCGGGGGCTCTATTGTCTATTCATTATTTATCAATCAGGTGATTGCGTGGAAACTAATCTAATCATTGAAATAATGACAAATGTTCTCAATGCAGGGTTGTCATAAAATGTCAAGTCAAGCCGTGGAGAAATTTGACCGGGGGTTCAGCCGCAACTCGGGTAACGCGCTCGAAGCGAGAGCTCAGCCTCTACTTGCGGGCTGACCCGAGTTTACGTCAGCCCCATGCGAGAACAGCACACCCCGTATGTGAGGTTGAGCGGTAGCGCAACGCTCAGAACTCAGTTTCGATTCACGGAGAAAATTATTTGGGGAATTTCATCAACTAGTTGGTGAAATTTAACAACTAATTAATTAAAATTCAGAAAAGATTTTTCAATTTCATTCAATTAATTCTGACTGCCAAACTAGATGGTGAGGGCATATATACATTTGGAAACAAGCCCGCAATCATTTATATCTTGAAAATATATCAATGTCTCCCCTAGAAAATTTAGCAAATGGTTGTCGAATGAACCTGAAAAAACTTTTTCTGAATTTTAAATAAATAGTTGTGAAATTTCACCAACTACTTGATGAAATTCACCAAATAATTTTCTCCGTGTTTAGTCGTGTCATTCCGAGCGAAGGAAAAATCCATGGACACTTTAATTTTTATCGATGAGGAATTATTTCGATGGGGATTATTATCTGCATGGAACGTTCGATTTTCCTCCCCAAATGACTGGAGGAAAGTAGCTTATATCCTCGGAATAGTGATGCGGCGAGACGCTTTACGAGATAAAACTTTGGAGAGATGATCTCGGTCTCAGAGAACATGGAAATCTTTGCTCTCGTCTCAGTCTCGAAATACCCAGTATCGACTCCTCTCGTGATGAATCTGAATCAATTTATCTCATCTCGGTCTCGAGTTTTTCGTATTTTTTAACGTAAAATCTTCGTTTTTGTCTCGGTTTGTTCCGTCTAGGTTTTCTACCTATAAAAAACGCGAAAAACTGAAAACCGAGATGGGATAAATTGACTCGGAGTCTTCACGAGAGGAGTCGATATTGCATATTTCAAGGCTGAGACGAGATAAAAAAATTCCGTGTTCACTGAGACCGGAGCAATCCCTCCAAAGTATTGTCTCGTGATGTCTCACCGCATCACTACCTCGGGATGATATAGCCCACGTTCCTTTATAATTATATTCCGTGTAGTAAAAATGTCAGCCAACATTTCTCTCCATGTAAATATTCCCAACGATTTCGTTTTCATTAATTTTACCCCCAAAGTATACGAAATACTGTTTTGGCTTTGACAATGTAACCAAAATTTCCCGAAAATTAGGTTTTGACGTTTATCAAAAACCACCGAAGCTGTCAGATGCAGGTGCTATGTCAATAGTCCATACATAAATCCTCTTTCAAATTATTTCCGTAATGGTAATTGAATCCATTCGATTGAACATTGAAAGAAAAATGTTGCTCCCTCAATTTCCGTGAATTTATAAGTTGACAAATAACGTGTAATTGCACCGAGTCATTGGATCCACAAAGCAGCAACTAGAAATTTAATATTGTTATTAATACCTCGAAGTGAATCCCACTTGTTTATGCCTCGTGCGTCCACAAGACACAATAACTCACACAAAAGACAGTCACTGGCTATCGTGCATTTACAGGTAGACTTTTGTTTGCTTGTTTTGTTTGTTACTGCGTGAGTTTCTTTTGTGCGCACTTCTACCTACCTCTCACCTCTTCCACAACATACTCACCTCCCTACCCTTTTACCTCATAATTCCAGCGAGTGTTGTGTGTCCAGCTGCAACCGCTGACGCTCGCACATGCAAATGAGAGAGTAGCACAATGCACAAATAGTTTACTTATTTTTCTTTTTTATTCGGTAGGTAACATAAACTTTGGACATTCCGTTGGAAGGAAGGTTTCAATTTGAAAACTCTCGATTTCATTTTTTTCACTGTCATTCAGAACTTGCTCAGATTTTTTACAGTACAAGATCTATGCGCGCGCTCTCGCGCACGCAGATCTATTCATTTGTTGAAATGAAGAAATGGAATTCATTGAATTTCATTTTCTCATGAATACCTCATAAATATTGATAATGAATCAAAGAGAATTCGACTAATGATTGAAGTGAATAGCGAAGTAGAGTAAAAGAATCTATAAAGAATTTTTCATTTTCAATTAATTATCTTCAATTTTTTTAAATAATCAGTCTCCATCAAAAGACAGAATTTATCAATTTCACCGATAATATATATATACATGTGAAATATAGCGTACATATACGCCTCCGTATACACTACATGTGGCTATCCTACTCGCCTTTTCTCTGAGAGGCCACTGCGTCAAATCGGAGGCGACTAGGTACCTCTGGGTTTAACCCAACTTTTTGAAATGGGCGATTCCACAATTCTGGAGTTCAGGACGCCACGCACACCACACACATTTCGCGATGTTAAAACCCAGAGGGATTTAACCCGGAAGGAGTATGTTTTTCGAGCGGGAGACCGAAAAATTTTCAAAAATCGGAGGCGTCTACGTCTGTTTGATGTAGCGGAGGCCAGTTGTAATTGCGTGCAAAATGTATATATATATATATNCACTGAAGAATTTGAAAATGCCGCGTGTTTTTTTTGTGCATAACTTCGTGTCACATATTGACCAATCAGAATTAAGGATTAGCGGTCAGGCAGTTTCGAGATATTTCGATATAAAACAATTGCACGTTTCTTTTATCTTTAGTAAAATAGGATTTTTTCTATATTGCGGGAAACCCGAGAGGAAATTCAAATCAGGATGGAATGAGAGACTGACCAGTACAAAATGATTTTGATCAGTTTTAGATCAGAAATGTAACGCTTGTGTGTAACGCTTACTATCACGTATTTATGACGACACCCAGGACCTTTCTTCAATAGGATGAGCCATTTGTTATTTACTTTCGGATAAATAACTTGAGAAAATATATTTATTAAATTTATAGAGTACTAAGCAATTAATATTTTTCAACACAGTGACCAAGCATATTTTTTGTTACGTCGTTCGTGAGGTGCTTTTTAGCACGCCAGCGTGCGTCGAGCCTGCACGAACTGAGGGACCTCTATTTATTTTTATAAAATACGAACAAATATTATTCCGAAGTTATTATTATGTCTTAAATTTGTATCGAATCTTGATATTTCTCGGCACATAATTCATGTTTTGGATATGTATCTACTATTTTTAACAATCTACTTATTTTTTTGTTATCCATCGAATTTAATTTATTATATAATTTTACGAACAATTTGGGGTAATAAAAATTGAGTTACAAAGAAATTCATTAACTTCGATTTTATAGAAATATAATTTTTTTCTCTGTGTATGAGTCTCAACGAAAATGTCTCAAGAGAATTATTTTCATCTTTGAATAAGGTTCCTTGTTTCTAAAGTCATTGGTGTCTGAGATACTTGTTCAAATAAAGATTATTGTTCAACTACTTTCTTACAATTCCGTACAATACGGTAATCTGATGCGAAAATTATAGACTTTGCAGCCCTTATAAAGTCCAACTAAATTATTGTAGTACTGTAACAAATATTATTGTCATTATTATTGTTTATCAATCACTATTCTATGACAACAATTCATCCAAATAATATCTTATCTAAAAAAATTTTTTCTTTTTCGTTAATAAGAATGATCTTTAACATTTTCACATAACATGACTGGTAGTCGATAGAATATCATATTTAACGAAATGTCAAAAAGCTACTTCACTGTTAGAAAATTACTCCTGAAATTTCGAGCAAAAAGTCTTGAACTTTTTAACAACCACTCATTCATACGAAATTTTTATGTATTTTATTATTGAAAAATCAATTGAATTCGAGAGTATTCAATGGAATTGCAATTTTCAAGTCCACATGATTATGAAAATTATTAAATAATTTGAAAATTCAAGCAACAATTTCACTGAATTTTTAATCCACTGAAAATTCAGTTGGATGTGATGTTCAATTTCCGCAATGAATTTGAAAATTCTAAATGTCATTGAAATATCAGTGATAATTCAGCATGGAAAACTCACACGGAGAGAAATATTCAATAAAAATTACGTATCTTTTCTGTAATTCCGGAGCGAAATGTTGTTATAGGAAATTTTAGGGAACTGTCGTAATTTTAATCTGAATCTCCTGTGAAAAATTACGATACGGTCACTTAAATTTTCTGAGTCAATTCCGTAATCAGTGAGTGAATTGTAAGTTCCGTAATTTTTACTGAACATTTCTCTCCGTGCAATTCATTATTCTGAATTTGCAACCTGAATGAGATTCCATGAACGATTTGATCGTAAATTGAATTCACGTTCACCACATTGAGAATTCAAGTGCAACTGTTGTTTAATTTTTAAAAAAATCCAACCGCGTTGTTACGTTTCATCACTTTTCGCTGATTTTTATACTGTTTCCCTTTAATCCCAAATTAAAAAGTGAAATGACAAACATTTACTGATTTACAATGCACAATCTAATCTACCCTCTAAAAATGTAAATAAAAACAATTTAAATTACCGCCTTAACTAATCTTTAATTTAATTTCCCGGCAATAAATATTTTAAAACGCATGTTTATTCATAAACAATACATAAACATTCATTAAAAGCTGATGCATGCGTGCACTAATGCCCATCTTTTTCCTGTGTACATTACTGTTCGTACGTTATTTACCTTTCAACTGTTTATTTCCAACGGGCAAGTAGAAATACACACACATAAAGAAGGAGAAGGAGTGTATCGATTTGAGACGGTCGGTCGATGGGGCTAACAAATATAAATGGATAAACGGAATCTATTGTTGGACGTTTGCTACGATTTCTCCGTAAACTATTATTTGGGAGTAGAGACGTACGTACTTTGTTGAGAAAGAATAAGGAAAATTTTGCATGAAGTTTTTTTTTCAATATTTCATTGGAGTTATTCAATCGATTGTAAAACTTTTTTAAAAGTTCAGGCGATGGATGAGTCAACGATGGCTTTATAGCTGCTTTAAAGAATCACTGATTGTTGACAATCAAATTTTATATTTACATTGAGAAAAAAAATTATTTTTGTCAAATATCCATTTACTTGAGAGAAATATTTTTTTTCAATACCGTATTTCTCCAGTCGAGTCATTATCAGGAAATCCTTATTAGGTTTCAATTATGACAATTATATTGCTCTAGGAGATGAATATACTTGTTATGACCTGGAGTGAACTCTCATTAATTATCAGCATTGAAAAATTAATCGAAAATTTTCCCTTCACAAACTAAGAAATTTAAGACAAATGAATAATCATCAGACGATTTTATCCAACGTCATGTGCAACATAGTCATCCTCTAGGACAACAGAATTGTCATCATTGAAACCTAATCAGGCTCGCCTAGGAATGACTCGATTGGAGAAATAAATTTTTTTTTAAATAGATACTTCTCTCAAGTAAATGGATATTTGGCAACAATAATTTTTTTCTCAGTGTAGATTTATGAAAACAAAAATGAAGGAAATGGAATGTTTGCGAGATTATTGAACTGTAAAAGTTACTTGGATATTTGTAAACTCACTGTCAGTAATTTTATTTTGAAAACTAAAAACTTTTTTCTGTGCGTAATTTTTGTACGAAATTATATCATAAAGTAACTTGAATATCACATGAAATTTTTACAATGACAAACCAAAAGGGATAAGAATAGGCTTTACAAAATTAGAATCCTTTCTCAAGAGTGAAAAAAAATTCAACGATTCTATTTTTAAAAAAGAACTTCAATAATTCATACGATTGACCTCACTCATTTGAATTCAAAAGAAAATTCTGAAACTGCTGAAACTCTGAAAATAATTCTCTACTGCCGAGTTCAATGGAAACGTATGAAAAAAATACGGCGAGTAGTTTGCAAGAGTAATAATAGAAAATAAGAGTCAGAGGGGAAAAAAACGGTGCAGAGGATGCGTCTGTGAGTGGGTTTGGGGCGAAGACGAAGCGTTCTCATTATACTCCTTGATTTATAATACCCGCTACGGTGGATTTCAGGTTAGAAGTTGAGTTAAAAGAAAAATAAGGCTTATGGGGGTGTATAAAGTCAGGAGTGTGAGGAGTCGAGAGGTAAGACGCTGGAGTGCTCCATGCTCACCCACTCCAGAATGGCCCGAGTCACTGGAATATATTATAAAAAAATGTAGGATGAGGGCATAATCGCCTTGGAACTCGTAAATTTTCGGGTCGGATACGTGGCACAGTTTTTCAGTATTTTCATTCTACTCACACTGTTTAAAAAAATTCTTATTGAAAAGATCATTCTTGTTTCAGCAATATCTAAATTGTACATTATTGTAAACGCCGTCTTGGGCTCAAATTATAAATTGACATTTATCGAAAAATACTAATTTTCATTGACATTATCATCATTTTTTATTTTTTTTAGTGACATTGACACTAATTTCAGAGACATCGTCGCCAATTTTCAGAGTAATATCACTGATTTTTAAGAACACTCAACAAAAAAATGATTTGTGATCAGTTGAAAAAGTACTTCTCTCCAGTACCAAAGGGTTTCTGAGGAAAAGGCAAATTTTGTTCTTCCTCGAAGTCACGAAAGAACTGGATGCAAGTATCATGCATCAAGTACCTGGGTACTGGTGAGAAGTACATCGGTACTTGTCACACTTTTGGTACGCGGAACAAGTAAAAAAAGTACTTATACTGAGTACTTGGCTGGTTCCTTTCAAAAGTACCAACAGAACTCAATATAAGTAGCAATAGTACTCAAATCCAATACTCATAATTTTTTTCAGGAATTCATTCAAGATTACAAATCAACCTGGATACTGGTGAGAAGTACATCGGTTCTTGTCACAAGTCATTTAATTACTCGGGACAAGTAAAAAAAGTACTGAATACCTGGCCGGTTCTTTTCAAAAGTACCAACAGTACTCTATATAAGTAGCAATAATACTCAAATCCAGTACTTATAATTTTTTTTAGAAATTTATTCAAGATTACAAATGAAGATCCAAATCTTGAACCACAAGTGAACACACAGACAAATCTGAAGGTATAGAATACGTGTTTGAAATAGTAATTCACGTATTCAAAAACGTAATTTATTATTTTCTCAAACGGGTGATTTACGCTTTTGAGATAGTAAATTACAGTCAGAATAACATGAATTACGATTCTCAAAACTGGAAGTCAATTCAGTTCTCAACGCACCCATAAAAATCACAATCTACTGATTTTTCCCTACAAAATATTTGCTCCTGAATACTTCTATTTCCAAAAATGCGCAAGAAAGCTCATTTTATCCGTCGATAATATTCTCTTTTCTTAATGAAGTAATCAATTGGAAATACTCTGAAGTTCAGTCATAAAAGTACTCGAGAACAGGTCAAAAATTAATGTTCGCCAGTACTTTGGTACTTGTGAAAAATACTAAAAGTACTAGCAGAAAGTAGTGAAGCTACTTCCTCCTAGTACTATTTCTACTTGAACGGTAGAGCTTTTGTATCCTTCACTCAAGGATACAAAAAGTACTTGGGACGTGTATTTTTCAGACTTTTCACAGGTGAACTTTCTCCAAATACCGGTCGTTACTGGTGACAAGTACTTTTGTCTTTGGATGAACCCATCTCCAATTTTTCGGAATCGAACACCAAATTTCAGTGATAAAAATCACTGATCATCAGGGTCATTCCAATCAAGGTCTAGTATCACCAATAATTGAAGACCCTTGGGATTCATTTACTATTAACTTTCTCATCGATAGGAAATTAGAACGACGAATGGGTGATGAATTTTTCGGATAAACGAGTCGCGATGGAAAACATTTACACGTGTTTATGTGCGTGACTATGTACAGGGAGGACCCTCACTAGAGCGTAACAGGCTTACCAACTCTGACAACCAAAGTATTATATCGGGCCAACACCAACAAAGTATTATATATGTTGTCAGTTTTTTTCACAAATCAATTATTTCCCGTTTTTTATTAAAATTGAATAGAAAAATGTTTGGATGAAAAGGAAAGAATTTTTTTGTTCAGGGATTGGTTTTCTGCAGGAATATAATAGATTCCCCTCCGCCTCACCTCCTACATTCAGTCATCGCCAGTTCATCGTTGATGCAATTCAATATTTCATTTCGACACTCGATTTCACAATGAGCATGTGATTTTTAAGGTAATTCCAAAAAATTTGAGGAATATAAAGAACTAATGTGTTTTTTTCTTTTTCTATTTTGCAGGGGCACATCGGCGAAAGCCCCTTTGACACTGGATCCTGGGGAAAGGAACACTTCCAGCCAACCACGGCGCCCTGGCAGCTGAATCCACGCAGCCACGCACGACCTAGTGTAAGTCAAACAATTTCAACTTGTATTAGGTATAGTGAAACGATGGAATAGGATATCTCGAGACATAACGTCCAGACTATTTTGTAAATAAGTTCGAAAAGACTGCTTGAACTAATATTTCAACTGAGATCTCGTGAGACTATGTACACCCAAAGAAAAATGTACTTCTCACCAGTGTCGACCGGTGCTTGCGGGAAGTTCATTTGTGAAAAGTTCGAAAAATCCCGAGTACTTTTTGTATCCTTGAGTGAAGTACCACCTTTGCCGATCAAGTAGAAATAGTACTGGGAGGAAGTAGCTTCACTACTTTCTGCTAGTACTTTAGTACTTCTCACAAGTACCAAAGGTACTGATGCAAAGTAATTTTTCAACTTCTTTCAAGTACTTTTACGACTTAATTTCAGTACTTTCAATGGATTACTTCATTGAGAAAAGTGAATATTATCGACCAATAAAATGAGCTTTCTTGCGGAGTGAATTGTGATCCTATCCTGATCAGTCAAATCTCGATTAGATCCGTATCGGATCCGGTACTGTTCAGGAATATCGAATCCTAGAATTTTGACCAGGCATGGCCCCAAACAAGCGTTACATTTCTGATCCAAAATTGATCAAAATCAGTTTTCCCTGGTCAGTCTCTTATTCTATCCTAATTTGAATTTCCACTCGGGAAATTGAAATTTTCAAGTCTTCAATTGAGACTTTTGAAAATCTTAACTTAAGATGTTCGAAAATCTCAAGTTGAAAGTTTCAGAATTCAATTTAAGATTTTCGACAGTCTTAATTTAAGATGGTAAATCTCAAATTGAAATTTTTTTTTTTTGTTGTAGTTAATTCTCTCAATTGCTTTAGTATCAAACTCAGTTGAATGGCAATTACTTTACGAACACATACATATACGTGTTCATCGTTCGCTTTCTCAAAGAAGAAAAAAAATTTGCACTTTCCTTGCATTTTTGAAACTGTATAAAATGTATTGTTTTCCACCAGAAAAAAAAATTCTAAACACTGAAAGTGTTTACAGCCCTGCACTGCACAAATCTAAGCACTCTGACGCTATCTGTTGTCCATTAAATTTCCCCGTAACGACCCATTTAAAGTTTAGAGTCCATAAAATTCGGGTTAAATGGCCGCAAATCTTTGCCGACCACCACTGAATGCAGATGCGATTCTCTGCACTGTTGAATTATTCTCCGGCTCTTGAGTCAACGAATTAAAGCAATGACAAATGAAAGAAAAATCCAAGCCTCTTGCATAACGCGAAACTAGAAATGAGATGGCATTTCTTCCCCTCAAGGAAAAAATAAATAAAACAAGAAGACAATAAAAAGAGAATGAAAAAAAGTATAAAAATTAAATGAAGAATAGAATTCTTTCCAGATTATCTTCTACTCATTGTTGTAACAAAAATGCCAGTGAAGTATTCGTCCGGTCGTAAATGCCGTGTCGTTGTCACCCCTTTTCCGTAGCTCCGAGCAAAAAAAAAAGGAAAAAAACGAGTGAACCCCCTGATTCTTCACTAACTCGGGGAATGCCCGGACCTTCCTCCCCTTCAACCGAGAAGTATCCTTAACCCCCTTGAGAAAGAACCGTATTTATAATACGCTTTGTTTTCCCTCAGCTATTTGTCTTGGAGTCAGTTCTCTTCTTTTATTTCACTCGCACGTTATTACACCCACTGTTTTTATTTAATCTTCACCTCATTTTCAACCCCTACTTCCACTCCATATTTTTCCCAGTATTAAAGAACTTTCATATCGAATACATTTTCATCTTCTAAGCGAAAATAAATAAATGGGAATAGAATAGCGGAATTTTCTAAACTACTCTGAGTGAAAAATTGAATCAAGACAGCGGAGTAACGAAGTTAGTGAATATGGGAATATGAGGGTCTATTTTCGGGATACGTTTCGTTGGAAATAAATATATGGGGGGTATTTTTGCACTCACGGCGGGAAGGTGGAGAAATTTATGAGGTGAGGAAGGGAATTCCGGTTTTAATCGATTGACAGAGTAAATCGCATTCCCGAGCGCTACAAGACAATCTGATTTTATTTGGTTCGGTATTTTGCGAAATACAGAGAAAATATAAAATATAAAAAATAAACAATTACTATATGAGCATAGTAATTGAAGACCACGCTGCAAAATTTTTTAATTTAGTTTATTTTACACTCAAAAAAAAAAAACTTTTGATCAGTAGAAAAAGTACTTGTACTCAGTACTAAGGGGTTTCTGGGGAAAAGGCACATTTTTGTACTTCCTCGAAGTTATAAAACAACTTGATGCAAGTATCATGCGTCAAGTACCTGTGTACTGATGAGAAGTACCTCAGTAATTGTCACAAGTACTTTTGTTACTTGGGCCAAGTAAAAAAATTACGGGTACTGAGTACCTGGTTGGTTCTTTTCAAAAGTACCAGATAAACTTAATATAAGTTGAGCATAAGAACTCAAAAATGTTTTTTTACTCTTCTAAAAACCGAATTTCGTCAAAAATTCAAAAATCGAAATAATTTCCTTTTTGTGAGTAATACAATTGAAAAGAAATTGAAAACAATTTTTCGAAGCCTTTTATAAATGGTGATAACAACGTAAAACATAAAAACCTCAACAAAATTGAAATTTTGCAGGTTGGAAACCATACCAATATTTCTCGAAAGCATCCATGAAAATCGTAATCTATTGATTTTTTCCTATAAAATATCTTCTGCTGAACATTTCTATTTACAAAAATGCGTAAGAAAGCTCATTCTATCCGGTAACAATATTCACTTTTCTCAATACAGTAATCAATTGGAAGTACTGAAATGAAGTCCTAAAAGTGCTTGAGAGAAGTTGAAAAATTACTTTTCACTAGTACCTTTGGTACTTGTGAAAAGTACTAAAAGTACTGACAGAAAGTAGTGAAGCTACCTCCTTCCAGTTCCATTTCTACTTGATCGGCAGATGTGGTACTTCACCCAAGAACACAAAATGTACTTGGGACGAGTATTTTTAGAACTTTTCAAAAGTGAACTTCCCCCAAGTACCAGTCAGTACTGGTGAGAAGTACTTTTTTCGAGTGTAACCAAATTCTGACTCGTGTCAAATTAAATTTCACTTCTATAGGCCCCGATTTCATGATCTCAAATGATTTCAACTAATGTCCAATGATATCAAATTTATTATAAATGATATCATGTTCGTCAAAATGCTCGTTGAGTCGATAATAAATTTTCATTCTGTTCTATAAGTTTCAAAATAAAACTTCGTATCCCACCGATGTGGTGGTTGCAAGTGATTTTATATAAAATCACTTGCAATCGATGAAATCACATGATTTCACGTGAATTCTGAACTGATTTCATGCGATTTCAGCCCAGAGTGGCACCGTGATTTTGCCAGTGAATAATCCCTCGTGAATTCTCGTCAGAGGAAAATGTAAAAAATCGACCGACTGAATCCTCCGAACATATTTACATTTTTTTTCAGCAGATTGTATTTTATCACGAGAAAAAAATGAATTGTTCCTCAACAAATGACTGCAGTATATAAACCGGCAGTGGATACACTCATTAAGATAACACGAAACATAACATAAAATATAAGTATGATGTAGTCATGAAACTAAAAAGAAAAAACATTGAATAAACTTGGTGAAAATGGACACTGCGATCTCAGACTATTGAAAGTAGATACGGCATGGAGTGGTTGTTACCAATGTTTTTGCGCGTTCGCACGATCCAGGAAAAATCCTTTACTCCTCAGCTTACAATTACTCGGATGGCTGACATGAAAATAGGGGGGGGGGAGGATAGGCTCACGTTGACTGGGTTTATTACGTGTGCAATCATATACATATGGCTAATGACGCGAGAACGTTAAACCAGTACCCATACTCTAACTCGCATCGTCCCACGCGGATGAAGTCATCGCCATGAAACCAAGCGACCGTGAAAACGCTGACTACGAGGTCTACACGCTCGTTGATACCTTTCTCTGTTTTCTCAGTTTATACTACTCTTTTCCTGGGATATTCTGATGATACAGGCGATCGATTCCTAGAATGCCGAGTGTTTGGCCATTTTGCGCTTATGGGACTGAACAGATTTTTTTTTCCAAATAGATCGACTTGAGTGGGATTTTAGTCGATAGCCCGGGAAATTTTTGGTGTCAACACAGCAAAAACGAATGCCTGAATTTCACACACCTTTTGTAGACATTTTTCAGACACTAAAAAACGTCTGAATAAAATGAAAATGTGTCGGGATTTCAGATGAACTGGACTGAGAGAAAAATATAATTCTTCTGACTATATTGCGTCACCGTCGAATTATAGTCAAAAAGTCCTCAACAATTTTTCATGGGTTACGGTAACTATGGCCGGAGAAGTAATTATTACAATGGAATGTAGTCATTGCAACTATTTTATAGTTCTACTCACGATAGATTTGTCGTGGTTACTTTTGAAGTTTGGTTAGTTTAACTGCATTTTGATTTGCAAAAATTACGCTTGGGAAGTTACTATAATGTTATGTGCCGCCTACAAAAAAAATCGTATCGTTCACCAAAACAGCCCCAACTATTTTCTTATTGTAAATCGAACTTCAGATTTTTCTCTCAGTGTAGTTGAATGAAATTGTGAAATTAAACCTACTATTTGTTGTTCCTCTTCATCATAAAAACTTGGTGAAGATTTTAGTCCCCTCAGGATATGAATCGCGGTAAAAATCAGAGAGGCGTCTCGAGTTCTTACCCACCCCTGGGTTTTAAGATATGCAGAGCACAACCCACACTATCAGCATCTTCCTTCTTCACTCGTGTCGTCTCTTTTTCTTTCGTTCCTAGCGAGTGGACTATTTTAATACGAAAAGATAGGGGTTATAAGGACGGCGATAGGGATGGAGAGGTGCAAGGGGAAATGGACACTGAGACGACAGTCAGTGGAGATGTACTTCTTGATTACAGAACTTTCTACTTAATTACATAACATTGTTACCATTTACAAAGTTGCTACGC